TGGTTGCTGAGCGTAGGAAGATTCACAATCGGCTTAGTGCGCTGGGAGGCGCCGTTCGCACAGTGTCCCTGATTGGGACCAATTTTGGTTCCAGTCGGGGTACACTTTTTGGTCCAACTTTCTCCGAATTGAATTTCATTTGAACCGTTGCGATCGGGCAGTTAAACTCTATCTAACGATTAAATTTTTATATTTATTTGTAATACTTTTTCCGACATCATATTTTTGGGTGTTTGACTTTAACAGAGTCAAAATTGGTTTAATTGACCTTTATTCAAAAAGGTTCTCACATTTAATTCATATTATTTATTTCCATGATTTATTTCAATAAATCATTTCAAAGTTCACATTATAAACAATTTCTTCATTTATTCTTAATTTGGGTCTGTACTCAGGTTCCCAATCAAGATCACACAATAAATCAACATGTTGGATTTATCTGTATGAGATTTATCCCAATTATGTTTATTGGATATCAATATATATTTTATTTCAGCCCAAAGCCCAACAACAATTTCTTTGAATCAAAACAAATTTTGTTTAATTGAATATTTAATTCAATAAATTTCGGGGTATATTTTGGGGCGTTACACAACGCTATCGTAACAAAAATTTCCTCTTATGCTTGAGGTTGAAAGGAATGTGGCGGTGGTGTAGGGGTGTAGTACGGTGGGTATGATGGTGGCAATGTAGGAGTATAGTACGGTTGGGACGTTGGCGGTGAAGGGTTTGTAGTATGGTGGGTACGGTTGGGACATTGGCCATTTTCCGAAATTGGCATAAGCTTGAAACCCTAGCTGATTTGGTCCATTTAGGTCCATTTTAGAAGATAAATAAAATGAAGAGAACAAAAGGAAGAAATAAAAAGAGAAATAATGAATTGAGAGAGTTGGAGAGAGTTTGATGAAAATTGAGAAATAAAAAGAGAAATATTGAATTCTTCATGTATCAAAATACCCCTCAAACTGCCCTTTTTTTAGTTCGGATATCTTCTGAATCTGAGATATAAAAATATGGGGGTTTGATACCCCTTTCTACCGTCGACCACTCTCGCCATGGGCTACTCCCAACTTCAACAACTTGCAGACCCCTCCAACTAACTCTGCCCCTGTGACAGTGCTTCGAAGTTTATATAGGTTTGTTGTTTAATAGTTTATCTACTCCTTAATTTACTAAATTTTAAATATTTGTTCAGTAAGTCGAGCAATTTATATTTCTTTTTTATTTATACCTTTGGGAGATATAAATTAATGATTATAATTTGTAATAAATGTTTTAATTTATGACATAAACAAATTTTTGATAAATTGCATTGTGTTCAATTAATGATTTAGTTCATGATTTAGTGATTTTATTATGCCATAAGGATTTTTTGACATGGACAAATTTGTTGTCAGACGATCAAAGGTTTTGTCATTTGTAAATGATAAACGGAAGGAAAACATATTTTTTCTTTGGGGGAAGAAAGTCTAGTTTGAAATGATGATGGTATTGCTCATATGGGATTACAAAAAGCAATTATTACTTGTCTGTTTGAAACTTGAGATTTCATACGAAGAAGATACTTAGGAGCTGTTTGTTTCAGCCTCTTAATAGTTCAGATGTCTGGAGTTTTCAGCACTTAATGGTTCAGACTGTTTGTTTCAGCCTCTTAATGGTTCAGATATCTGAATGGTTAAGAAATTTGCCTCTGAATGGTTAAGAGTCTGAATGGTTAAGACCTCTTATCTGAATTGATCAGACATTTGCCTCTGAATAGTTAAGCTATATACTAGCTCTTAATGGTTCAGACCTCTTACTGGTTTAGCACTTAATGGTTCAGACCTCTTACTGGTTTAGCACTTAATGGTTTAGACCTCTTACTGGTTCAACACTTACCTATTCAGAAGTTGCCAAACAGCCCCTTAGTAAAAGACCTTGTCAACAATTAGTACATCAATTACCACAACCTATGACTAGCAAAAATATAGATAGTTTGTAAGTAAATGGTTTGACAAGTAGAAGTGGTTGGACTGTTAGAGTATAGTAATGTCAAGTATTAGGAAGTATAATTAAATTAGGATACTTCTTTCCTTTCCTACTAGGATTATTCTTTCCTTTCCTACTTGTACTTTGATTACTCTTGTATTCCCTATATATAGGGTCATATCTCTCAATATTCAATAAGACAAGTTGTTATCAAATTGTATCATGGTATCAGAGCTAAGGCTCTCAAAAACCTAGCCTCTCTTTTTTTTTCCGACTGCCGCCCACCATGGCAGCCCCGTCGGATCCTTTGGCGTCCTTACCCTCCGGAGTAAAACTTTTACTTCGGAGTCTCCACAACTTAATCCCAGAAAAACTCACCGAAACAAATTATCCGGCATGGTCTCTCAATGTCCAGACAGCTCTTTCAGCTAATCTCCTCCTTGGATGGATTGATGGTCATGAAGCAACCCGGCGCCAACTATCTCCAAAAACGATAAAACCGTCCCTAATCCAGAGTATACCTCCTGGACCATCGTTGACACACAGATCCGCGCCTGCCTCCTAGCGGTCATCAGCCCCT